CCCCCCCCCCCGCCGCTGCCGCCAGCCGACCACGGTGCCTGTTGCTGCCGCCGCCGCCGCCGTGGGACCCGCGGGGTCCTCCGCCCGGAGGACGAGGAGAGGCGGGAGCCAGCGGAGCGGTGCCGCGCCGGGAGGCGGGAAGACAGCGTAGCCGCCGCGCACCACGGATGCCCCGCTCGCCCCGGCGCTCCCCAGGATGCCCCCGAGCTCCTGCGCGCCCTGCCCGGGCCCGGGGCTCTGAGCGCGCGCACCCCCAGCACAGGTAGGCGCCTCCTAGGTGTGCCCCCGGGCATGGCGTGGAGTCCGGACCCCCCGAATCCCCTCCCCGCGCCGCGCGCTCTTGGGGCTCCCTTGGAACCTGGCAGTCCGGGAGGGTGGGTGGGGGGCGATCCTGCTGTCCTCGCCGTGAGGGGGGCTCGGTGGCGGGCGCAAGTTCGGTGCCACCCTGTCGTCCCCCCCCCCCACCCCGGTCTGGAGGAAAGCGAAACCTCGGTGTGCGGTGCGCGCCGCGTGGGGAGCTCCTGCAGTTCCCACCCGGCCCCTCCCCGGCTCGCTGGTCCCGGCATCTCCTGCCTCCTCCCTCCTGCCCTCGCTCCCTTCCTCCCGCCAATTATCTCCTAGGCTCCCCGGCTCCGCAGGAGGCCTGATTAGGAGGAAAGGGGTGGTCCTGGTGACCCCGTGCCACCCCCTTTAAAAGTTCAGGGTTACTCTGCAGTAGCAACTTTGGCAGCGTCTCCGGTACGCGCAACGCCGCTTTCTGTGGGCACATCCTGTACCAGTCATTTTGAAAGCCTGCTTCATTGCTTCTAGCAGCTTCCTCCTCGTCTGTGTGGACGTGAGACCTCAAACTTCGCCCCGCATGGCTGTTCGCTTTTCTTTTAGAGAGGTGTGTGTGTGTGTGTGTGTGTGTGTGTAAAGAGATGACAGTTTGCTTGCAATCCACCCAAACGTGGCTTTCCCCGTTGTGATTTTATTTAAAATAGCTTGTCCTCCGGAAGTTGCTTCGGAAAGAAGAAGAAATTGAAAGTGATGGTTGTTCCTCTCACCAGAATCCTTTAGTTTTCACCGGGGTCCGTGGTTCGCTTCATCGAGCCCGTCCTGCTTCTCCTTTTGGAGAGGATTGGATGGTTTCATTTATCTAATTAGGCTCCGATGGAGTTTTACAACGACCTGCTTTAAATAGGTCACACTCACCCGTGGAACTCTTAGCTATCGCTACAAGTCTAAACTTACAAACTTTTTTGCACTGGGCCTAAATGCTGAACCTTTGTTTTGGGGGAGCAGAAATGCCTCGTCCCCCGCAGGTGTGAGGTGGGATTGGCAGGCGTGGAGGCCTGCCACCCTGGGGTTCTGTCGTGTGGGAGGAACCTGTTGTGTGGGGGAGGGGTTAGAGTAGACCAAGGAAAGGAGCATCGGTTCAGGAGGCTGGAATCACCTTGCAAAACTCCCTCCACCTGTCTGACTGTTCACGTTCTATCATTGGCTTGGATTAGCAGGCCCTCAAGCCGGTGAGCTGAAGCCGGTGAGCCCTGCTAGCTAGGTTCAGGAGGTGTGTCTCATAATCACCTCCTCCTGCCTGGGAACCCTGAAGACTGTCTTAAGGAATCTAGAAATTGCAAGGAAAAAAAAACGTTTGTAAAAAGGTGTGTTGACAACTGTTTGAAATTGGATGCTACCACAGTTTCCAATCTGCCTGTATTTGTTTGTTATAGAGAACTAAGATACCCCCAGATCCTTCTATACATAATTGTTGACATAATGTGTGCTCCAAGACTGGGTAGATCTGTGAGTTCAAGTGCATGCTGGGAAATTCTGAGTACAAAATGATGTAGTTAACAATACAGTTAATGGAGGTTTGGGAGACAAAGAATAAGCTGTGGTTCAAAGGAGGAAACAGAAGTATCTGGTGAATGATGACATGCCTTCACATGAACCAGTTCAGTGATTTGCAGGCCTCTGCAAGGGAGAAACTATCATTGGCCAGATAATGAATTGGAACCCAAGTCGAGTTTTACAAATGAACCCTCTGCCCCTGTCACCATGGCATTCTCCCTTTCTCTATAACATTTCTGGTTGGGTGGCACTCATGTCAATATTCATCCTTTATCTCATAAGACAGCATGTCACAGTATCAAGAGGGTATGAGGAAGAAATGATGGGTGGCTGATGGACCAGCCCTCTGTCCTTCCTTACCAGGCCAGGAAGGCCGGAAGTTACCATCATGTATGCCACTGTGCAGAGCCAGGTGAGAGTGGGCACTCCCATCTAGCCCTCTTCTTCTGGAATCTTCTAGAATATACCAGAAGGAGGGTTGCTTGTTTTATTTCTGTTGTTGTTAGTTTTGCCACCAGCTTCTTGCAGTACTAGAGCATCTCTGAGTTCAAGCTCAAGGCTTTGATTACTAAGTAGGCACACTATTATTTGAGCCATGTCCCCGGCCCTATTTTTCTTTTTTTTAAAAATTTTAACTTTTTTGCCCTGCCTATGCCTCCTGAGATTAAAGGCATGAGCTACCATGCCCGGTGAGGACTCTATCTTTGAACATACTTTTAATTTTCTCTCTACAAGAGACAGCCCCTCAGGCCTCCTGTACCCTTCCAAGTATTTCCCTGTAGATTCCCAGTCCCCACACTTTTCAGATTCTCCTGGGAACCTACAATGTATATATATCTGCTTGGAGACTTCATGCATATACGTGTGTGTGTGTGTGTGTGTGTGTGTGTGTGTTGGCACGGTTGCTTTTGCTCTTTCTGTGTTCACTCTGCACTTCTCAAATTTGACAGCCACAGTCACCCCAAAACTTTTCTTGCTCATTAAAACTTGGAGAAGTGGAAATCTCTTCACTCAGACAGTGCTCAGAGTCTGCTCAGGAGCTGAGGACGTTGGGATTCAGCTCCCTGGAGTGACGACGAAGGATTGAAGTCTTTAATCAGAACTATTTCCTTATACCTCCCTTTGCAGGCTGGCCTCAATGCTTGCTTTTCAATTTCACATTCCAATAAAAATATGTTTTAAAAAGGTTATTCACAAAAGACATGACCATTTCCGCTTTCAAGTAAAAGAAAACCTATTCTGATATTTTGACAGGTTCATAGAGAGTGTACGCCTTTTCCAGGTTTCCAGTGTTATAAAAAGACCTGTCACGTGTGGACCATATGAAATTATCTTGATACTTATGTTCCAGAGCAAGTGCAAATAATGTAAGAAGTATGTTCTAGAGCTGTCACACATTTAGTTTTGATTGTGCCTCTCTCCTTCGAGATAACCACGGACATTTCTCCCTTTGAAAGCAAAGGCAAATCTTTCACTTTAGTGAAGCATCATATGTAGTTGGTGAATCTGAACTTCCAAAGTAGGTAAGCACATAAAATGGAAACTACTTGTTGCTACTATTTGTTTTATTTTTTTAGGCACTAAATTTACATTGCTGAGACTACCTAAACCTTAAATAGAATAAACTAAGCTAAGCCATTAGTTGGAGGTTATTCCCTTCTAAAGATAGCATCATATTGGGAAGGACAAAAGTTTGTGTAAGACAGGTCTGGATTCAAATTCTGCCATTCTCAGAGTAGGGAGAGTACCCAAGGTCATCTCTATCAAGTGTCCCAGAAAAGGTAGTTGGTTAATAGGTATTCCTTTAGTGAAATGCTTAAGAGCAAGCACCAGCTCTGGAGCCAAAAGATCTGGGTTCAAATCTAGATTGCACCATTTTCTTTTTTTAAAATGTTTTTTATTGTGGAAATACTGTACAGAGGGGTTACAGTTACATGAGCAAGGTAATGAGTGCATTTCTTATCAAGCATTGTTGCCTCCTCCTTTGTTTTCCCCACCATCCCTTCTGCCATGATCTTAGGCAGATGTGCTCATTTCCTGTGCTGCCTCCTTCCTTCCTGTCTCCACTTTAAATTGGACATGATGGTAAATGCTATAGAATACTCCATATTACTCAGGGTGGTTTCAAGAGTTAAATCAGTTAATACACACCTGGAGCTATTACTAAGTAAACCATTATTATTGCTGACAACAACCATATAGAAAGGTTATATATAAGCTCTGAGGATTACTTAGCACCTCTGTCCTCCACCCCTTTTTCCTGTGTAGTAAAATACAAAAGGATACAAGAACTGACCTTTGACTTATGTAAGAAGGAAGCCATTTAAAAGCAGCATTATTGTCCAAGTCATGTTGCTAGGCTCATTGGTTATTGAAGCATCTGTGGGTGTCAGCTTCTGAGGCTAGCTGGTGAATAGCTAAACCTGCAAAGATCATTGCTACCTGGGCAACTGCTGGGTGCAGAGTTCACTGCTCTGACTGGGGTGGAATTCTGTGTAGGGAAGCAAATTATGTACATGAGTTGGTGGACCTGTTGCATGAGTTCAGAGAATTTCAGATTGAAGGAGACTTCTGCTCAGGCATATGCCCGCTCAATTAACCATCAATTCACAAAGGGAAGTAAGGGCCTACCTCAGAATTTCCCACTGGGATCCCCTAGAAGTTGTCAGTATTGGCTTGTTCCTAATGTGGCTGGAAGTTAGAAGCGCCTAGTTCCCTTCCCTCCATCTTTTCCTCCATCTTCTTCATCTGTTTTTTCCTCTATCTTAGTGTATTTTATGTTGTGGAGACAAAATTCCCGAGACTGTACAACTTATAAAAAGATTTATTTGGGTTATAATTCTGGTGGCTGGAATGTCTCCAGATGCACTGGCATCTGGTTAGGGTCCCCTGGCTGGGGTCCCAATATGGTGGAGAGCATCCAGGGCAAGGGCATATGTGAGGGTAATAGATCACTTGTCAAGAGAGAAAGCAAGACAGTGAGGAGGAACCAGACTCCTTTATAACAACCCACTCTTAGAGAAACAAATCCATTCCTGCAGATATAGCCCACTCCAGGAAACCAACGTTAAACCTTTCAAAATGGAGGTCATGACCCAGTCACCTCCTTCTAGACCATGACTCTAATGGTGCCAGTACCTGTCAATATGGGCATACTGAGTACCACAATTCCAATACATCAACCTTTGGGCCACACACAAACCCCATGCAAATCATAGCACCTTCCCACCAGCATTCTGGGGAGGCTGTGTGTTGTTGGCAATGGAAAAGTCCACATTCTACTCTCTGTGGCTTGCTGGAGGGAGTGATAGGGCTGAGAAAAGAGGGGGTTCCCACTAGGCAGCTTTCCAACACCTACCCTTGCTTCTCTCGCTTCCTGATCAATAGATCCCATCCCTTCTTCATGTAGCTCCCCCTCATTTTTGTTCAGAAAAGCAGCTTTGTATCCTCACACTGTGCTGGAGACATTTGGTGTTATGCATTATGAAAATGAGATTCACAGATTACAGACAGAACTTAACAAGATGAGTTTGTTTTGTTCTGCTGTAAGAATGAGCTTGAGTTTGGAGAAGTTAAGTAACTTGCTTTTTCAACTTGAGACTTGAAAATGTCCTCGTGGGGAAATTGAGGTTCTTTGCGGCTCTTGAATGGGCAATCGGGATTTTTGCTGTCCTAATTCTGTCACTAAATTTGGACAAGCCCACTTAACCTCTCCAGAACCCAGTTTCACTTAAGAAGGATATTTCTAAATGGCATAAGAGAACCTTGTTGATTTTAAAATTTTATGATCTTAAGTGCACGCTTCCAGGCAGAGGTAGCATTGCAGGAACCCCAGCAACTGTTCTAAGAAAGGTAGAAATGTCTTTTGGGTTACTGTAGAAATGAAGGCGTTGTGTAGAATACAACAGAATTAGGCTTGTACATAGCGCTCTACTAAGAAGAAGCTAACAGGAGACTCAATGATGTAAAGATCAGATTATTGTCTTCCATGGATACAAAACAGAAGACACCTCTGTGGAATAGATGGTTGGTTCTCTCTGAGGCTTAAGGTATAGATGGTTCTACTGGGTCAAGTGTAAATAATGTGTATTGAAATGGCTTTGCAAATAATGTAGTGGCTTATTAGTATTGCTGAATTAGTACATCTATCCATGAAAGTTATTACTGAAAAGTAATTATTTTTTTTTTACAGAAACTAAGAGCATGCTTGTTTAAAAGCAAAGTAAAAAGTAGGTGGCTCATATACCTGAATCTTCAATTGGCCCACAAATTTAAGAGATTCTTATTGCTACTAAACCAGAAAAAAGCTGAAAGTGGAGGCATGGCTTAAGTGGTAAAGAACCAGACTTGAACAAAAGTATCTAAGACAAGGCCCGGAGTTCAAGCCCCAGCAAGTAGAGACTATGTTTTTCAAATAGTTTTGTCAATAAAATGACAGTTAATTTGATGATTATTTACCGAGGCATTTAAAAGAGCAGAAAACTGAAAGTAGTTTTGCTATCCTTGTTGCCACCTGATTAATAACTGCTTCATTTAGAATACTTGATAGATGCGGCTGTGTTCTTTGTAGTAATACTAGTACTTCTGTAGGCATGTCTTGGGATTAGCAGCTGTCAACGGTTAAAACTTAAAGCCGATTCAGTTACAGGAGTGAATGTCAAGCCAGACATTTAATACCACTTTCACCTGTGAGTTGAAGAGAGACAAGAGAAGAAAGAGGACTATTATTTTATTTTGGAATTCTAAGACTAATTTCATCATCATAAGTACTGTACATTGAAGGAAGGAAGTCAGGGATTCACTTTCACAAAATGTATTTAGAATCATAAGGGTATTAGTTTATTTTTGAACTTTTGAACATGTAAAATTAAAAACATCTGAAATATGTTCAGATTTATTTAAACATTACTTTCAGAATATGTCTCATGTAAAAAAGAGGAAAACTACATAGCGTTCTGTTCTCTTTCCTAAAGAGTTAAAATATTGAGTTTTATAACCCCAAGTCTTAAAGTGTTTAAGAAGTTTGCAATCCTGTCGAAGGACACCTATTCAATTCTTAAAATAAATATGACTAGGTCCAAAGTGCAGTAAGGACATGACGGTGGTAGCTCTGAATCATGTTGGGAGAAAAGAGGTGATGGTCATCTGAGCTATGACATTCAAATGAGTTAGGTTTAAGGACAAGAGTAGGGGTGGCTAGGAGATGATCCTCATGGCCCTGCGTTTACACCCATCTTGTGGGCAGAGGCACTGCCTGCTTTTATCCTGACTACACTGTCAATTATGTTTCTGTAGCAGCCAGCTATGTGAGAAGGCATCTTTCTCTGGGGTAAGGCTGAACAGGCTTCCTTTCCTAATAGTCAGGTTCCCTAGGCTCAGCTTCTGCTCCTGTAGTACCCTGTAATACAAGCGTCACCTGACCTGTGAGCACGAGGAGTCAAGGAACTAACTGTTGCTTTTGGTCCATGTAATCAATTGTCCTTTGTCTCTGACCCAGAAATCTCTTATCTTTTACCAAGTTGTTAGCTTGTATGTAAGGAAAACCAAGCCCCCTTCTAAGTTGCCATCGCATTACAGTCTGAGGAGAGAGGAACAAGATGCACTGTGCACTGAGTCACGTTGCATGTGGGGAACTGTGTCCAGTTCTCTGTCTTCAGAGCCAAGAAGAGTGCAAAGGAGGACATGGGGAGAATGTAAAGTTGGAGCTACATACAGGACCATATTCCAACGTGATTGTACAGGCCACATAGAAGAACTTAGATTTCTAAGGATAGGGAAGTTATTGAGGAACTACTTGCAGAGAAGTGACCTGATAAATCCTGTGTATTTGCAAATTAGTAGATATTGGTGAGAGAAAGAAAAAGATGTGTTTAGATGATAGAGTTAAAAGTATTGATATGATGAAGGAATCTAAGTGACTCGATGCTATTTAATGCTAAAGTATGGACCCCCTAGTAGTCTAAACAGGCTATACATCACAGCAGGAGCAAGTAGCTGACCAAACCACTCACTTCAGGACTGAGAACAAAAGAGAGGACAAGGAAGAAGCTAAAGCCCCATAATCCCCTCCCAGTATCCACCCCGATGACCTGAAGACCTCTTTGAACATTCCATCATCTCCTCAAGACGTAAACTTTCTCTCTCTAATATGTTCATTATCTCAGGATTTTGTTACAGTGACTGAAAGCTGACTTAACATAGTAAATAAAATCAACACCAATGTGTTAACCCTGTTGGAGAGAAGTTCTGGGAAGGAGGGCAGGAGGTGAGAATGAGTTACTTTTTAAATAACGAAGTTCGAGCTGGAATGACTTACATTACATGAATTAAAATAATGTTTAGGATGGTGCTTGAAACCTGATAGATACTGGGGAGATGTTAATGGAATACAGATCTGTAGTTCAGAATCTCTAGACAGTCCCCTTTTATAACTTGAGTAGGGGCTGGGGATATAGCTCAGTGGTAGAGTTCTTGCCTAGCATGCATAAGGCCCTGAGCACATCCCCTAGCAACATTAAAAAATGGTTGTGGAGCCAGGTGCCAGTGGCTCATCATTCCTGTCATCCTAGCTTCTCAGGGGGCTGAGATCTGAGGATCATGATTCGAAGCTAGCTTGGGCAGGAAAGTCTGTAAGACTCTTATCTCCAATAAGCTTATCAGAAAAAACTGGAAGTGACACTGTGGCTCAAGTGGTAGAGCATTAGCCTTAAGCACAAAGAGGCTCAGAGACAGTGCCCAGGCCCTGAGTTCAAGCCTCAGGACCAGGAAAAAAAATGGAGGTAGGTAAAAATTGACAAGTGTGTAGATGAACGCTTGAACACTTCTTTAAAGCTGGTTCGGTTGCTGGATGGTTGATTTTTTTCCCTATAAGACTTCTTTTTGGAAGGAATCTTTTTGGCTATGTAATAGAACAGGGTGTAAAGCCATCAGAGGAGAGAAATATTGTTTTCTATCATGTGTGACTTTGCTATCCCTCTATTCCTATGCTTTCTTGAACTTTCCCAGTGGTGTCTTTGTATCCTATAATGAGTGTGACAGGTTCATCATTCCATTTCAGGAAAGCTCTCTAGCCAGAGTAGCTTATTTGAGCACATATCTATATCTCCTTGTATTTGTGTTTCAGACTTTTAAGTTCTGGAATAACAACTCGCTGAAAGTAGCTATTGCTGTGACTTTATTCAATTCTAATACCTCTGTTTCTCCTTCAGGATTCTGCATCAAAAGCGTGCAGAATAGATTGTTCATTTGGATTGTTCAGCTGGTTGACACTACGAATCCAGCAGCAAGGATTTGCTGAGTCTCCATTCCTTTTCCAAGATGGAGCCCATAACATTCACAGCAAGGAAGCACACATTTCCTAATGAGGTCTCGGTGGACTTCGGCCTTCAGCTGGTAGGCTCTTTGCCTGTGCATTCTCTCACCACCATGCCCATGCTGCCATGGGTGGTGGCTGAGGTGCGAAGACTTAGTGGACAGGCCTCCAAAAAAGAGCCTGTCACTAAGCAAGTGCGACTTTGGGTTTCACCCTCTGGACTGAAATGTGAACCTGACCCAGGGAGAAGTCAACAATGGGACCCACTGATCTGCTCCAGCATCTTTGAGTGCAAGCCCCAGCGTGTGCACAAACTGATTCATAATAGTCATGACCCCAGTTATTTTGCTTGTCTCATTAAGGAAGATGCTGCGCACCGGCAGAGTATCTGCTATGTCTTCAAAGCCGACGATCAGACTAAAGTAAGTTAAGAAGGGACCTAAGGGATAATACGGAGCTGCAATGTTTTTAATTGTCTTGGGGCTAGGAAATTTATTATAAGTAGACTGGAATAAATAAGGAGATCATAAGGCAGTTATACATAGATTATTTAACTGAATATTGGGTTTGTAAGGATTTTTTTTTGCCAGTCCTAGGACTTGAACTCAGGGCCTGGGCACTCTGCCTGAGTCTTTTGCACAAGGCTAGCACTCTACCATTTGAGCCACAATGCTACTTCCAGCTTTTTCTGTTTATGTGATACTGAGGAATCAAACCTAGGGCTCCATGCATGCTAGGCAAGCATTCTACCACTAAGCCACATTCCTAGTCCAATAATTTATATTTTTGAAAGTATTAGACTGGGTGCTAGTGGCTCATGCCTGTGACCCTAGCTATGCAGGAGGTGGAGATCTCTAAGGATCAGCATTCAAAGCCAGCCTCCACTTTCTGTGAGACTCTTCTTTCTAATTAACCACCAAAAAGCTGTGAGTGAAAGCTTAAATGGTGGGGTATCAGTCTTTTTTTTTTGGTCAGTCCTGGGGCTTGAACTCAGGACCTGATCACCTGGGCAGCTAGCAGCTGTCCCTGAGCGCTTTTGCTCAAGGCTAGTGCTCTACCACTTTAAGCCACAGCACCACTTCCAATTCTCTAATGGCTAATAGGAGATTAGAGTCTCACAGACTTTTCTGCTTCTAGGCTGGCTTTGAACGGTGAACCTCAGATCTCAGTCTCCTGAGTACCTAGGATTACAAGTGTGAGCCACCAGTGCCATGCTAGAGTGCCAGTCTTGAGCATAAAAAGCTGAGGGACAGAGCCCAGGCCCTGAGTTCAAGCTCTAGTACCAGCATTCAAAAAATAATAATAGCTATTAGAAAGTGTAAGTTTATAAGGTGCTGATGGCTCACACTTACAATGCTAGATACGCAGGAGGCTAAGATCTGAGGATTAAGGTTTGAAGCCCTATTGGCAGACAAATGTAGGAGATTCTTATCTCCAATTAACCAACAAAAAAAGGCTGGAACTGGAGGTTTGGCCAAGTGGTAGAGCCGTGATTGAAAAATCTGAATGTGAATGTAAAGCCCAGAGTTCAAGCCCCAGTACTATACAAGGTTGCAAATTGCCCTTTGAATAAGCAAAGTTCCATATCAGTGATCTCCACATTTTTAAATACCACTAAGAAAAGTGTAGTTCTTTATAAACCATATTAGAATAATTCTAGCTGGTTTCCCAGGGTATGATGTTCCCTTGGGCAAAGGTCTTCGATGACAACAGTGGATATGAAGTTGTTTTGATATTATCAGGAGTTCTTTTGTGTGTTTTGCCTTTTGTCCACTTCATGTCAGATCTCATTGGCTTATTACTGTTTAATCTGGTGATATGTCTGAGAAAAATCTATGACAGGTGGCCAAAACCCTGCTATTTTCTTTTTCATTTGGGTTTTCATTGTTATCTATACTATTTGTAGTTCTTTGCAAGACTTGTTTAAAGCTTCTTGTCTTCTACTTAGTGAGGATTGGTGTAGATAAAATTGAAAAGATAATCCATGTCGCCACTTTTTCAATTAAGCCCACAGAATATGCTTTTTGGTATAAGACATGGGAATCACAGCTCATGCATGGGCTGAAAATCCCTCAGCTGCTTTAGATGCTAAGCTGCCTGTGTGTCTCCTCATTTGTACTGAGATGTCTGTGCCCATCTGTATGATAACTGTCCATAAAGCCTGTTCTTCATAATTTCAAATTTAAAATATGAATAGAGGCTAAGGGCAGTGGTAGAGATTAGGAGGATTGTGGTTCCAGGCTAGGCCTGGCAGAAAGATAGCAAGACTCCATCTCAACTAACATGCTAAGCATGTTGGGATATACCAGTCATACCTATATATGCAACAGGCATAATATGTAGGAATGCTAATGTTTTCCTTCTGTACTTTGTTGGTTTATTTTGCATACTCTTCTAAGTATGAGTCCCACGTAGAATTAATGTTGTTGGTACTAAGTGTAGTTGGCTCTTCATAGCCATAGGTTCCATGCTTGTGGATTCAACCAACTTCAAATAGAAATTTTCTTGGCAGGACTGGGATTTGAATTCAGTCTTCTACTTGCTAAACTGGCGCAATACCTCTGAGCCGTGCCTCCAGCTCTGTTTTTTTCACTTGGTTATTTTTAGGATAGAGCCTCATTTCTTGCTCAGGCTCAGGCCTGATTAGAGAGAGATCTGTCTACTTTTAGGTTTCCTGTTATCTCTGAGGTCATAGACACAGCCACCGTGCTCATCTTCCCATTCACAGAAATGGCCTAGCACCACATTTGTATCAGTTATGTGCAAATTATATGCTACTTTGTGTGAGGGATTTGGGAGTCTGCAGATTTGGATATCTGGGGACGTTCTGGAACCAATCACCTGCAGATACAGAGAGACAGCAGATTTGTGGAGATACACATTTGTTCCTTGGTTTTTAATACATTGAAGCAGTGACTGCTGCTATTCAAGAGGTTATTAGTAGAGGCTACCAGGAAATCAGCTATTATCAGCAGGAAGTCAGTCTAAATCCCCAATAGGGAATCAGACCAGTTGGTGCATGTGTTGGGCGTGATGGGAAGACAAAATAGAGCCTGATGCACACTCTGAGTATAGAGAAAGCTGTGTGTGTGTGTGTGTGTGTGTGTGTGTGTGTAAGTAAGCACACACAAGTCCTAGTGTTTGAACTGAGGGCCTGAGTGCTGTTCTTGAGCTTTTGTGCTAGTATGTTTGAGTCACAGCTCCACTTTTGACTTTTGGTGTTTAACTGGAGATGAGTCTCATGGACTTTGTTGCCCAGGCTGGCTTTGAACAACCATCATCAGAACTCAGTCTCCTGAGTAGCCAAGATTACAGGTGTGAGGTGTCAGTGCCCAAAGAGAAGGCCTTTTGAAAGAAAGGATAGTGTGGAACTCAAAATCACCATTTCCCATAGAGACTCCAAGATCTTGATATTATAAAACATGTGATGTTATTCGCAGGCCACTCAGATAAACAGGACATGCTCACTATGGGAGGTGCAGAGGGACTAACTTCCTGGATTCCAATCCTTCCTCTGGCACACATACACTGGATAGTTTCTGGCAACTGAGTCTGCTTCCTCACCTGTACAACCGTAAAACAGAACTTATATCCTGCAGGTATGAGGAGAACTAAATGAGGTAGATTGGGACCTGGAATTTAGTAAGTGGGCTATGAGGTATAGCTCAATAGTAGAGTGCTTGCCAGGCATGCATGGAATCCTGGGTTTGATTCTAGCAGATGAAAAAAAAAAAGAAACAACCTAGTAACCATTTATGACCATAACATTTAATCAAGAAAGATTTACTAGAAGCAGATTAAGTGCCAGTTTCACTTCAAGTATTTGGTAAAAAGAAAAAAAAAATCTCAAGTTGTGTAGCTTCACCTAAAGCATGAAATCCTGGTCATCCTTGAACAATAATACAACCTAGACTGCAGAAATAAACTTAATGACTCTTGTGATTTGAACAGACTTGGGAGTAAAGGTGAGAACTGAACAGCCCAGCTCTATCTAAGGATAGTTTCTTTGGTGAAAGGTTTTGCAAAAAATAATTGTTCAATACTTTATACTTTTGACACTTTTCCCAAAGTCTTGTATGCCGTCTTGAACAGGTTCTGGCCAGTCATTTGGATATCTGACAGGATGGAGAGATTTATAAGTAAATTCTGGGCTTCCAGTCTCACTCAAGATAGAAAATTGGTCTTACTCTATATTCTAAAAAGCCAACGTTGGAATATGAATTAGGTCTTAAGTTATTTTTGGCTGGCTTCCAATTTTGACCAACACAGATTGTCATTACTCAGAGAATAAATCGCTGTCTACCTTTTATAAAATGATAAAAGAGTTATTTGTAATGCAGCTACTGCTATTAGGGATTCTGTTGCCCTCAGAAACAGAATGGTAAATGACATTAGGTTCTTGGAAATGCCCTCCCACCCCCACCCCCCAATCACATCTCATAACAGAGCATTGTCTGTTGGAGAACATGTCAGTCTCCACTGTCAAATCTCTCCACTCTTTGTAACGTTTGCTCAGTGGGAGAATTCTCCACAGAAAGGCCTCTTCTAAACATATGAGGTCAGCATGGACTGTGCTTGCCAGGGTCAGAAGCACCAACTCCTGTCTGGGAGGAAATCCTTTGATCAGCATGTAAATTAATTTACTGAGGAATGTCTAGAGAGTGGAGGGGTAGGGGAGTCATCTTACAGGCCTGCCACTGGATGCCTCTTTCCCTGTGTAGTCCGTACTCAAGCCATTCCATGCACAACAGCTGTCATGACCAAATGGGTTAGGGGAAGCATCTCAATGGTTTTGGGTCCAAGGACCACTTTTTACCTTTCCAAAGTTATTGAATATCCGGGGCTGGGAGTTTAGCCCAGCGGAAGGGCGCCCGCCGCGCGCAAGGCCCTGGGTTCGATCCTCAGCCCTGGGGGGAAAAAAAAAAGCTACAAAGTTATTGAATATCCCAAAGAATGCAGTTTCTGTGGGATATACACCGACCACTATTCACTCTATTTGAAATTAAAACCAAGCTCTTCTAATGATACTGACATTTAAATTCACTTAAAAATCAAAATAGGGCCGGGCGCTGGTGGCTCACGCCTGTAATCCTAGCTACTCAGGAGGCTGAGATCTGAGGATCTCGGTTCAAAGCCAGCCCGGGCAGGAAAGACCGTGAGACTCCTATCTCCAATAAACCACCAGAAAACCGGAAGTGGCGCTGTAGCTCAAGTGGTAGAGCGCCTGCCTTGAGCTGAAGAGCTGAGGGACAGCGCCCAGGCCCAGAGTTCAAGCCCCACGACCGACCAAAAAAAAAAAAATCAAAATAGGGCTGGGAAGGTGGCTCAGTGGTAGAGTGCTTGCCTTGCATGCCTGAGGCCCTGGGTTCGATTCCTCAGCACCACATAAGCAAAAAGAAAAAAGCCGGAAGTGGCGCTGTGG